ATCGTGCGCCGAGAGCACAGGAAGTGGAGCTCGACAATCTGACGCGCCGCAGCCGCGTCACCTTGCAGATTGCGGGCCTGATCAGCGGCGCGAAGTGCGGAGCTGTCACGGCGCAGCCAACTGGGACTGCCACCAGACCACGCGAGCTGGGACAACTTGCCGAAGCTCCTTCCCGTGGATATGCGGGCGGCGGCCCCCGCTTTCCCATGGGAGGCCGCGGCTGGGCCGGGGAGGCTACGACCGATAGGTTGTTGGTACACGTCGGCATCCATGCACTGCGCGCCCTTCTTTTTCCACCCGCTGGCGCGGCCTGCTGCCTCGGTCGTCAATGAGATGGTTCGCCTGGCGGAGGCTGACGCAGACACGTGCTTTGCCGTTTTGGTCGAGAGTTCGGCTCATGCGCGGCATCGCGATGAACGTTCCATCGCGAGAGCATGCACATATATATATATATATATACACACACATAGGGCAGTCCACACGCACGAGGCCATCGCGCAGTTTATTCATCCAGCTTCTCCGCACACGTAGATATTAGACAAGTGGAGATTGAAGGTTGATTGGGCGCGCGCCCCACTGCGAATTGCCCGAGATGCCCGACAAATTCTCGAGACTGTATTGTTCGATGCGTTAATCAGGGGGGTGCCACGACATGAAGTTTCCCATGGGGCTCTCGCGGGTGCTTCTCGGCTCATATACCCACACAAGTGCGATGCGTGCCCGTGGGCGCTGGAGTAAGGCGCCCACTGCGTTCCGGGGGGTTCTGGCGGGGCGCGCCCATGCAACCGCCCTTCTCTCCATCCTCAGCACTGGGCCATGCACTGGGTTCAAAACAGATGTCCGAACGTGGTTCCTCGAGCCTCGGTGGATGATGCGGTTCTGCAATGGATAGGGCCCAGCGGGGACTCAACAGTGGAGCTCTTGAAGTGGGCCCAGGACTTCGTCGAGGACGCGGCTAGGTTTGGATTCCTGTCGCAGATCAAGAGGTCTGAGTGGGTTTCCACGACTGCTTCTGCAAAGCATGACACCGTGAGGCTTGCTTAGAGGATCCAGTTGAAGGCCAAGCCGTGGGCCAGAAATTTGGGGCATACGTTGAGTGGACCTACGCAGGCGAGGAAACAAGCTAAGGTACGCCTGACGCAGCTAGGGGAGAGGCCCCCATATTCAACATGTTGCGACGAAGTGCCAGCGAGCGTGTCACCGCGTTGCGGCGCGCTGGATTGGCGCCAGCATCTGCTCGTGGAGCCACGGTTCTTGGCGTCAGTGACCATGGGTTGACGAGGCTCAGGCAGATGGCTAGCATGTTAGCGCGCCGCACGAACAGCTCGTTGTCTATGACGCTGGCTAATGCCACAGGCTGACGCCATGCGCGAGCCGATCGACGACGCGACCTGGGTATATTTCAGGACATGTGTTTCGTTTACCTGGGACCAACGACTCTGTCTGGGGAGGCCCCAGAGGGCTTGGCATACATGGCGCTATCGAGGATCAGTCCGCTCGGGCTGCTGCTGAAGGTCCCAATGCTGCGCTTATGTTGTCTCTTTCAAGGACTGGCCAGCGCATGTGCGCCAGCACTGTTATCATCAGCGACTTGGGTCACCACGTGGGTCTGTTCCGGCTGACTTCCGCGATCGGTCGTGGACCTCGCACGACAGGGCATCGAGCGTTGGCAGGCTGCCCAGATCCTACAACGCCACGCAGATGTCTGCGTGCGAGGGTAGATCACATGGTCGAGGATACGCAGGAGATGCTCTGGGCAAGGGAAGGCGGCGGTGAAGCATCCCAGGTGTGCTGGGGCCCTTCCGATCCTTGCGGTCAGGTGCGCTAAGGCCTCGTGACCGACTTGCACGTTCTGGCTATCGCATTTCTTCTGCATGTTGTCAGCGCCTGGCCAAGAAAGCCACCGTGGGGCACGAATGTTACGAGCGCCTTGAATTTGATCATGATGCGCACGATGATCTGGACTTCAAAATGGGGATCCTGATCTGGACTATGTGCGCTTTTGCGTTCAAGGCACGGGCCTTCAGATGCAAGGCAGCAGGACTGAGCCTACTTGGAGACCTCTGCGGGAATGCCTTTGAGTCCAGGCGTGCCTCCTCATGTAGAAGATAGTATACTGGTGGAGTCCTGAGTCGATTGGAAGTCTGACAGAAATTCCTGGAGCAGAATGTGTTAGACCGTTGGTTCTGGAATGGCCCCGAGGTGGCCACAACTCAGGAGATGCGGACGGTCGGTCATCCAGTTGGGGGGGCAATGGCATGCCAGCTCGTGCGTAGCACAGGGCCCCTTATGGGGGCCTATCCAGCCGGTGGGCAGGGCGGAGCGGTTTGTTTTCTTGCAAGCGGCCCGACACCCTCCCTGCATCAACCTTGCTGTTTCTGACTTGCTGGGCCTAGTCCGGGAGGGCGGGAGCTGGTCTCACCAGCAGGCCGACGCGCAAGCGACCGATGCCGACACCTGGCATTCCATCTTGGCAAGGTTTCCCGATGGCGCAGGTCGCCCGCATTTCATATGGCGCCCGTCACATGTCACGGCAGAGCGCTATCTGGACGAAGGTGTTGCTACGAGCTTGCCGTGGGATCTCGTGTTCGGATCTCTGTGGGCGGCTTACTTCGCCAAGCAAGGAGCGACCAGCCATGCGCTTCGAGAGGTTCTTGTCAAGACGTTCGAGGCTCGTGCGCCGGATGCTCCTATGCAGGCTAAGTTCTTGGCGCGGGCTGCGGCGAACATGGCTGCTTCGGACGCAGGCAGTGGTCGCCCAGAACGTTTCCTGAGGAATTACGAAGGTAAGGCGCCCCAGTTCGGTAGAGGAGGAGGAGGAGGAGGAGGAGGAGGAGGAGGAGGAGGAGGAGTAGGAGGAAGGGCCCCCGGCTTTCCAATGCAAGTTGTGCCTTGCGGCCGCCCGTCCCCAAGCCATTCATGGGAAGATCTTGGGGGCCCCCTGTGAGCCGACAGCCCAAGAAATGCTCAAGGCTCGGGCCGACTTGGTGTTCCAGCAGGCCCCTCCCATGAGGTCTCACGCTGTGCAGACTGTTGTGCCGCTTGCTGATTCTGCACATGCTGCGGAGGACCTGCAGGCCGGCGTTCAGGCGAGAGAGGGGCCCGAGGAGTCAGTGCCCTTCTCCGAAGAAATCGTCGAGCTCAAAGGACACCAGGTGTTGATGAGCCCTCTGGCCATGGTGTGCACGTTATGTGGCTCTCATCAATCGTCCAGTGGCTAGGTGGCCAATGATAATTGCAGGAGAGTTGTCGTGGACCCTCGGAGCACGGACCAACCTGATATAGGCAGTCTATACAACCCGATGGCCACCCCAAGTCGGGTAAGTCATTCTAGTCCTGACTAAGTTTAATTGTGTTTGGGCCCGCGTCCCCGTCCTCAGTTGCACGAGTTGGCCTGGCGCTGGCATTCGCCTCCCTCTCTCCCACTTCCTCCCACACCCCTTCCCCCCCTGCCCTCCCCTCCCTCCTCCCCTCCCCTCCTCCCCCCTCCCGCCCTTCCCCCTCCTTCCCTCCCTGCACAATTACACAATCTGAATACTACTCTCCTCTCTCCCTTAACTCTATCCGGAGAGTGTCCCGTCCTCTCCGCGTATTGTTTGTTACACAGGATATGATTATTTGTTTTCCCCATGTGCTTGTTCAATCCTGTCGTTTCTGGTTTTTCCAAAATGGTGCTCCCGCTGCAGCGCCGCCCTGGTTTACGCGCTTCGGTAATTCAAAATCGTGCTCCCGCTGCAGCGTTGGCCTCGTTCCCGCGCCTCCAGACGGCGCGTGGCTGGTAATCGAAATCGCCCACATCGGGTCGGCACAGTTGCGGAGGACATGGAGCAGGCATTCCGGACAGGCCTTGTCCTCTCGTTGACTGGCCACTCACCCTCCAAGTCTTCCCGTGCCATGCCACGGCATGCATTGCGATGCTGTGTTGTGCACCGATGTGCGATGCCATGCGTTGCGTTGCTGTGTTTTGTGATACCATGCCTCACTACGCAATGCCACGCCATGCCTTGACATGCTATGCTCTGCCGTACTCTTCTACGCCATGTTTTCGCGTGCTCTCTTGGTATCATTGCCCTACTCGACATCCTACTGTGCGAAAAGAGAAGCGATCCACACCACGGTATGGGATGGGAGGAAGGGGCAGGACGTCAGATGTGACGCGAGCGCACCTAGCCTACCCCCCCACCCCTCCCCTCCGTACCCCTTCCCTCCCTCCTTCCCCTCCGCCCCCCCTCCCTCCGCCCCCCTCCCTCCGCCCCCCTTCCCCCTCCTCCCCCCTCCCCCGCCTCCCTCCCTCCCTCCTTCCTTCCCCCCCCTCCCTCCTCCTTCCCCCCCCCTTCCTCCGTACCCCTTCCCTCCTCCTTCCTTCCCCCCCCCCCCCCTCCCCCCTCCCTTCCCTCCCTCCCTCCGCCCCCTCCCTCCCTTGCCCCATCCGTCCTCCCGTTCTCCCCTCGGCGGCGCGCCGCCCGGGGTGGAAGCGAGAACGGGGCAGGCATCCCCGGAGAGGGCGGCGGGCCTCGCGGAGGCCCTCGCGCCCTCTGCTGCGGGAAGAGGGCGAACTACAGACTGCTGTTACGGAGGCCCGAGGCCGTCCTCCTCCTCCTCCTCCTCCTCCTCCTCCTCCTCCTCCCTCCTCCTCCTCCTCCTCCTCCTCCCCCTCCTCCTCCTCCTCCCTCCTCCTCCTCCTCCTCCTCCCCCCCTCCTCCTCCTCCCTCCTCCTCCCTCCTCCTCTTCGTCCTCCCTCCTCCTACTCTCTTCTTCCTTCTCCTCCTCCTCCTCCTCCTCCTCCTCCTCCTCCTCCTCCTCCTCCTCTTCCTCCTCCTCGTCCTCTTCCTCGTCTTCCTATTCCGCCTCCTCCCCTCATCCTCTTCCTCCTCCTCCTCCTCCTCCTCCTCTTCCTCCTCCTCGTCCTCTTCCTCTTCTTCCTATTCCGCCTCCTCCTCTTCCTCCTCTTCTTCCTCTTCCTCCTCCTCCTCGGGCTCGCCGCCGACCCCCGCCCGCAGGCGGCCCTGGAGGCTGCCAGGGCAGCCGGCCTCGAGGAGTCCAAGATAGCGCAGGTTGCCCAGGCCCTGCGGGAGGAGCCGCCCGCGGGGGGGGCGGGAGGCCTTCGGGGAGGCTTCCCCCAAGGCAGCCGCACGGGGTCGCCTGGAGATCGCTCTTCCTCCCCCCTTTCCCACCCCCCCTGCCTTCCCTCACACTCCTCCCTTCTCCTTCCTCCTCCTCCTCCTCCTCCTCCTCCTCCTCCTCCTCCTCCTTCCTCCTCCTCCTCCTCCTCCCTCCCTCCTCCTCCTCCTTCTCCTCCTCCTCCTCCTCCTCCTCCTCCTTCTCCTCCTCCTCATCCTCCTTCTCCTTCTCCTCCTTCTCGAAGTTTTGGCCGCTGCAACAAAGAACGCTAAACTCGAGGCCGATGGATCGTGGAAGGAGCGGCTGTTGCGGAACATCGACCACGGAGCCAGGACGGTTCATGCTTGGACGAAGCCCGAGGAGTCGTAGACTCTTTCCTCGATTTTGTCGGCGTCGGGGCAGGTGCTTGCCGATCCGCTATCATTTACTAAAAGCCGAAGGTCGTCAATTGAAGGGCCGTTGGCTGGCCAGCGATGCGATTGACACATTAGTTTACGATGTGTGCACAGATTTCGCCCCTACGAGCCCCTTACTCGAGTTTCGGTTGATACGATCCGCTCCTCGCGTCGTTCGTACACTAAGAAATATGCTTTCAGTGCTAAGGTGTTTCATATGCAGCATGTCAACTCGTGGTGCGACGAAGGACTGGCTGATTTGCCGCAGCTGTCCGCCATCATCGAGACGATGCCGACTCTTCCCATTCATATTCGGCTTGGCATGCTCGCGATGCCGCCCAAGACTATGGGGGGGTGAGACTCATCGGGATTGCACCTCGGTTCAGAGGATACGGGGGAAGGTGAGGAGGGCCATCGCATTGGAATGGGAGGAGAAGATGCCACGTTCCCTGCATGTAGGGTTATGGTTTCAAGTGTGCGACTGACGTTGTGTGGAGGCAGACAGCCCTCTCTAACTTTTCCACGCGAAACAGTTGGTACGCGGCCACGGTATCATATATAGGACGTGTCTAAGTTCTATGACTTGGTGGACTTCGAAGATTTCGAGGCCCGCTGTGTTGACTTGGACTCCACGGTCGCTGTGGTGAAAGTTTCTTCTGCTGCATATAGGGGTGCGCGGTCCTTTACATCACAGGCTTCTTGGGTGGCCCGTTCATGGCACGAAGGGGTGCCGTCGCAGGATGTAGTTTAGATATTACGTTTGTTCGCAGTTACTACTCGCGTCTACTACGCGCGCACTTTCCTCGCCATTAAGCTCGCCCTGTCCATTTGCATTGACCGATTTACTGATGACAAAGCATAGCGGGCACTGTCAAGTTTCGTGATTTCCTGCACGGTTTGAATTCGGCGACGGCGGTGGTGTTTCAGGCTATCTGGTGCGAGCTACAAAAATGTGATTGCTCCTGGCAAATCACGTCGCTCGGCAGGTTGCTTGCGGAAGGGTTGGGCGCTTAGGTTGGGCCCAGTGTTAATTTCTCCTCGGCGGCGAATCTCGGGGTGGACGACGCAGCGGGAAAGGGTAGGAAAGAGAGGGGAAGTGTCGCCAAGAGGAAGAAGAGGGAGAGGGCTTTCGTGAGCAGGGTTGGGCGCACCAAACGGCAACGGTATGTATTGGGCCGCTCTTGAAAGAAACATGATTCGTAGTGGCCCTTTTCTTGGGCTGCGTCATGGTGCCGAGACCTGTGGGCTTAGCAATTGCGCGGCTTCGCGTATCAGGCAGCACATTGGCAAGCGTTTGCGACCATCGTGCGGGGCCGCTCTCGTTCTGCAGTCTTGGCTTTCAAAGCTGAGCAGAGCTGGCATGGCACGGCGGCGCCCTTTGTCAGGTGGAGCGAGGAGGTCTGGGCGACACAGCGCAACGTTTGCTTTTTTTCAGCATGGCCAGGTTGCGGAGACGGTGGGCCTCAGTGTTCAATTCCAAGTCGGAGGAATGTTCAGGGCCCCATCAGCGCGCTCTGCATGCCTGCGCAGAGGCCAGGGTGGAGCATAAGAGACTGTGCCACGCGTGTAGACCACACGGGCACCGCTATCCAGCACACCTTCATCAACCCGATGGTCGTGGAGGATGTGCTTCGGCGAGCGGTCTCCCGGGATCTGGAAGCATCACTCGCTCGAAAGTCGGATGTCCCTTGGGGCCGAGTGTGTTTCGACATCGTCAAGTCTGGGCCGCGTCGGAAAAGAATATGCGATCGAAACAGGAGTACTATTCTGAACATTGCTTGCGGCGGCTGCTGGGCTGGCCCTCGAGCGCGCGCTCCAGGCTGCGCACCCACGGGCGACTGGGTCTTGCGCCCGCCCTGCACGGCTGCCGACGGCAACCCTCGCCTCAGGACTTGGACTGCGAGGCGGCCAATGGTGAGAGGGGGGAGCTTGTCAACGGGAGTTGCTCTCGAGGGCTGATGTCGCAGGCCTAGAGGTTGACACCAACACCAAGATCCGCGGTGTGCCTCCACCGAGGGAGGACGATC